CTGGGGGAGCAAATCAACTTCTGCCCATACGACTCCCCACCCCCACCCCAGCCCACAGAACGGAAACCGGTGGAGCAGGGCTCGGGGCAGACAAGACTGCATTAACCGGCTGTGGGTTCTGTCCAGGTCCTGGAGACGCTGGCCCCGGCGCAGCTCTGCGCAGCCGCGCACAGACAGGGCGGGAGCCGAGGCATCTGGGTGACAGACAGGAAGACTTGCGCTCGCCGCCTCCCAGCTTCTCTGGCACGCGAGACTTCGCTTATGATTTATCAGCTATGGGTCCCCTCCAGGCGGCTCCCTTGGCCTCTGCAAGCTGTTTTTCTCCGTCTGATATAAAAATAACACCTAAACAGGATCCCCAACTCGATGTCCCAGGCAAATCAGCTCCCCGGAGGCGGCAGCCAATCCCGCCGTGGGGTCAGGATGCAGGGCCCCGATTACACAGCCTTCAGGAAATACGATCGCACGGCCACAGGCGAAAATCAATCACCCACGGAGGATTGGTTACCCGGCTGTGGCCAGTTGCGTCTGTTGATTCTTGCCTTGCCAAAGGGGCTGGGTGGGGGCCCGGCTGGCGGCGAGAGCAGGAGGGGAATTCCAAGAATCAAAGGACAACACAGGGCAGGGCCGGAACTGGAAAATCGGGGCGCGCGGGGCGGGGGGGGGGGGTCTCAGTGTAGAGCAGCGCCACTGTCAGCCCCCAGCCCAAGTCCTTCCAGACCCTGAACTTGAGGACAACCTACGCGGCTGGAGGTGTAGCAACACTGGAAGCAGGTGGCCAGGTAATAATAATAGTAACCACTTACTGAGCACATATATTTTTTGCATGATCTGTGCTTTCCATAAAGCCGAGCGGTTAAGTTGTGGGCACCAGGCAGTCCAGGCAGCCCGGGGTTAATGCTTGCTCCATCTCCCTAGCTTTGAGATTTTGATCAAATTACTTACTCTATTTATGCCTCGGTCTTCTCATCTGTATCACTGCAGTAAGAAAAATATTTACGTCCTAGGGTTGCAAGGGATCGAGTGGGGTATCGCATGGAACGTGGTGTGCACGGCGTCTACTCAATGCCACGTGCTGCATAGACACGAAGGGTCTTCATTTGCACAGCGCAAAGTGGATGTGTGAATGAAGAGAGGCTAGATGAGACAGAGGCTGATTTTTTTTTTTAAGATTTATTTATGTATTTGAAAGAGTTACACAGAGAGAGGAGGAGAGGTAGAGAGAAAGAGAGAGGTCTTCCATCTGCTGCTTCACTCCCCAGTTGGCCACAATGGCCAGAGCTGTGCCAATCCGAAGCCAGGAGCCAGGAGCTTCTTCCAGGTCTCCCACACGAGTGCAGGGGTCCAAGGACTTGGGCCATCTTCTACTGCTTTCCCAGGCCACAGCAGAGAGCTGGATCGGAGTGGAGCAGCTGGGACTCGAACTGGCACCCATATGGGATGCCGGCACTGCAGGAGACAGCTTTACCCGCTATGCCACAGCACCAGTCCCAGAGGTTGATTTCCCTTAGCAATACAGGCTAGGTGGGCAAAGCAGAGTGGGAGTAGGGGAGTGCTAGGGTTTGTAAGTTCTTATGTCAAAAGCTTGTCCCCAAAGCCACAGAGTTGGGAGATGGGTCCTTGCAGAGGTGACGTGGTACGGGTGTCTGCCTTCACAAATGGATCCAAGTAACCATGACGGAGCAGGTCCTTATCACGGGAAATGGGTTCATTGTCGTGAGAGTGGGTTGATTACACACGAGAACTCGAGACATGGGGCAGTCAGCCTGCCTTTAAGTCGTCCACATCCTGCAATGCAGTGCCCGGGTTCGAGTCCCAGCCCCGGATCCTGACTCCAGCTTCCTGCTAATGCAGACCTGGGAGGCACTGGTGGTTGCTCAAGTAGTTGGGTTCCTGCCACCCACGTGGGAGACCCAGCTTGAGTTCCTGGCCCCCAGCTTCCGCCCCCAACCTGGCCATGGTGGTCTTTCTGTGTCTCTCTGTGGCTGTTTCCATCCCTGCCTCTCAAATTTTGGAAAAAAAAAATTTAAGGTTTATTTATTTTCCAATTCACTGGTTCACTCCCCAAATGGCCCAACAAATGGGCCAGGCCGAAGCCAGGAGTCTGGACCTCCATCCAGGTCTTCCGCATGGGTACAGGGACCCAAACACTTGGACCATCCTCTGCTGCTTTCCCAGGGGCGTTCAGAGGGAGCTGGACTGGAGGTGGAGCACACGGGACGCTGGCGTCTGGTGTCGCAGGTGGCGGCTTAACCTGCTGTGCCACCGCACTGACCCCTAAACCACCTCTTCTAACCGAGCCCCGTGCCTCCAGCTTGTAGGACTTGGCTGGCCGAACCAGGCAGCAGCCAGCACACACCAACGGCCTGCGGCTCTCCGGCCAGTTTCCGTGAGTGCTGTGTTCCTGAAACAAAGCAACACTCGCTTCTTACTCCCCGCTCTCTGCTCTCCAGTCTCTAAAGCAGGGTCACTGTTTCAGGCTCTCCATGTAGCACCACTTCAGATGCGGCATCCTGCATGTGTTAGGAGATGGGTGTGACTGCCGAACCAAAGGCGCGGTTTAAAGATGTCTTCGAGAAGAAAACTTCTCACTGCAGGCATGGAGAGCCAAGGCACTGTGGCAACAAAGGACCTACACGAAAGATCTCTGCGAGTGGGATCCTAGCAGAAAGAATGGGCCATCAAAGGAGGAGGTGCCTTTCTCTGAAGGGAGAACTTCCACTTTGACTATGACCTTGTCTAAATAAGGTCGGAGCTTGTGAACTCAAGAGGCTTCCACAGCCTTGGCAGCTCATGACAAGAGCCTCGGGTGATTACTGATGCCATAAACAAGAGTGTCAATTGTTAAATCAACAACAGGAGTCACTGTGTACCTGCTCCCCGTGTAGGATCTCTGTCCTTAGTGTGTTGTACTATGAGAATTAACAGTAAAACTAGACTTCAAACAGTACTCTATACTTTGTGTGTCTGTGTGGGTGCGATCTGTTGAAATCTTTACTTAGTATAGAGCTGTTCTTCTGTATATAAAGATAATTAAAAATGGACCTTAATGAAGAATGGGATTGGAGAGGGAGTAGGAGGTGGGACAGTTTGGGGGTGGGAGGGTGGTTATGGGGAGAAGAACTCCTATATTCCAAAAGCTGTACCTGTGAGATGTATATTTATTAAGTAAAAGCTTTCTGTAAACACAGAAGAAAGCTGATTTGTCTTTTACATAATAGTCTGTAGACTGTAAAGCTGGGAGACTGACTCAGGAACCCTTCACAAATGTTTTCCAACTTGCGTACAAGGTAGATGCCTTAGCTCCTGCCATCACATTCGCATTCCAACCACCAGAAAGGGAAAAGGGAGAGGGTAACTCATGCCTCTTTTGCTTCAGGCCTGACCTGGAAATTGCTTCCACCCCTTCTACTCACATCACATAGGCCACACTTGGCTGCACGAGCACGTTTTGCTGCAAGGCAGGTTGGGGAGCTAAGTCTTTTTATGGGGAATGATTCCAGCTAAAAGTCACACAATTCTGTTACTAAAGGAAGCAAAGAAAAACGGCATTGGAGGGCGACTGGCAGTCTCCCTCACGGAATGTCTGCAACCTCATAACGTGCTCCAGGAAACAGGCTCAGAGAAAACAAACACTTTCCAAGGCTGTGTGGCAAGCACACAGGGAAACTGCTTCCACTGGGTCTGTCTGCTCTCAAGTCTGGCTTTTCATCACAGCTAGTCAACATATTCTGGCCACATAAATGCTGCCTGGCTCTCCACAGAGATGGGCACTATCAGTGCAGTTGGAGAGATGCAATCCGGGAAGACTTCCTGAAAGAGGAGGGCCTGCTACTGGCCCTGCAGCGTGGAGCAGAGAGAATGGAATACAGCAGGGAAAGGCAATTGTGTGCACCACGCCTGTTCTGTATCTGGTTGGCTATGGAGGGGGCCCAGGGCCTAAGGGGGCGGGCTGGGAGCTGGGAGTGGGGGCTTTCCAGGTCCTCTCCATCATGACCCCCAGGGTGGTCCCCTGGCCTTCCCACTGTCTGATCTGTCCCCACGAACTCTGCTTTGGAAGTTCCATCATCCGGGGCCAGACAGGGACAGGCCACAGAGATCCTATCCCAGCCGCAACAGGCATGAGAAGGCACAGTGCCCTCCTTCTCCGTTCTCCTCCACGCCCCACCCTGGCCCCCAGGCAGCCCAGGCGCATTGAGGGATGATGGGAAATCTGCTCAATACATTCAGCAAGAACCCGGCGAAACCTGGCTGGGGTGGCAGGAGCTGGAAGGAGGCGAGGAGGGGAGGGGCGGGGCAGCGGAGCCAGAGCAGCTGGGTCAGCAGTCCCCATTTGGACACTGACTCAGGCCCCAGGAATGCCAAGGAAGGGGGCGGGCAGCCACCAGAGCCAGGCTGGGATCCCACTGGCACCAGGGGATGTAGGAGCCATCCGCCCAGGCCGCTGGGGGCTGGGGCTCCTGCACAGCTGGGCACGCCTCCCAGCCACAGAGACACAGGTGCCTCTTCCACTGTGGACAGGTGCAGGCCCAGAGCCCCCTCCCCCTCCCCCCCCGCCGCCAGCTCTCCACCTCCGAGACAGGGACACACTCTCGGGATGCCAATGGAGACACTGCCGGCTCTCCCAGCCCCACCCTCCCAGCCCCCGTCTGGCCTTGTCTCCAGTTGTCCCTGCAATTGTCCTAACTTCAGCACCAGCCTGGTTGAACCACACACAGGGGAGCAAATGGAACTCAACCACCTCCACTTCCCCGCCCGCCCCAGCGAAGGTGGGAGAGGGCCTCCTCCCAGCGCCCACAACCCCACAGCACGCCAAGCCACCTCCCTCCACAGCAGGGTCTCTCTAGCAGGCTCTCTGCGAGGGGCAGGCATCAATCAGGATTCCCAGGTGCACCCCTTCCCTCCGCACCCGCCCACCCTGTAGGCTGCGGAGCTGCAGCAGCTGAGTGGGGCTGACACCTCCCTCCCCGCGGCCGGACACCCAATCAGAGAGAACCCGATCCGGGCCGGGCTGAGGGCCAGGAGCCAGGCCCAGAATAGTACCGCCCAGCCACAGTGCCGCGCACTCGCTCTCCGTGCTCGGGGCTGGCCGCATGGAGCCGGAGCTGGAGCCCGCTCTGCGCAGGGTACGGGGTCCCAGGGGTTCCACGGTGGGCGCCTGTGCGTGCGGCCGCCCCTGTGTGTCTGGCCTGGCTTTTCTCTGTGTGTGTGTGTGTGCGTGCGCAGGCCAGGAGGTGCCTGGTGGCTCTGCCAGGGTCCAGGAGTGGCCGGATGTGTGTGTCTGTGTGTTCCATGGCCTCTGGCTGTGCGTGTGTGGCTGCGTGTGCTTGTGCAGGGGGCGGGGGGTGTGAGGACCTCCTCACCCCTCAGACACTGGTTTTTCTCACAGATCCCATCCTGGAGCAGCCTCGGGGGCCCTGAGCCTCAAGGTGGGTGGACTTCGTCCTTTCCCGGGCCCCTTCTGCCACATCCTTTGTCCCCCACCTTTCTGGGATGCAACACCCAGCCCCACCGCAACTGGATTTTGTCTTTCTCTCCTTCCCCTTCTTTCTCCTCGGTACTGCTTCCTCCTGTCCCCAGGCAAGAGCCTCTCCACTTCTCGTCCCTCTTTTCAGAACAGCAGGGGCATCGGATAGCTGAAGACTTGGAGCTCAGTGCCGACTCTGCCTCTTCTTAGCTGTGTGACTTGTAGCAATTCGCTCCACCTCTCTGAACCCCTGGCCCTCACTAGTACAACAGGGATGATGATAATGCCTCCCTTAGCAGGCTATACTGAGTCTTGAAATACGTTGGCGACGAGCTCTCTGGAAGCTTGCAAGTGCTCAGTGTTGTCGCTGGTAGCCTTTGATTGATTGATTGATCGGGTTGTATTAATCAACAGACCCATTTCCCTTTCCAGAAATCAGCTTTCTAGAAGAGAGAGACGGTGACTCATGGCCGTCGCCAGCCGTGACCACCAGCTCAGAAAGACTCTGCGGGAAACGGGGCACGAAGGCTTCAAGATGGACGAAGCAGGAGGCTGTGGAGAAAGGGGAGCCACCAGGCGTGGGGGAAGGTAAGGCCAAGGCCAGTTCTGGGGAGCAGGAGCCAGGGCAGTGGGGAGTCTGAGAGGCTGAGCCCTGGGCAAGGCTCTCCGTCACACAGTTAGACCTTGTGGCTTTGGTCTCCCCACACGAGAACAAACGCATTGACGAGCAGGGGACTCCACATGGCCAACTCAGAGAGACGGGACCGGGCCACCTCCTGGCGTGACTCTCAGACTCAGCTCTCCACCTGCACACTGGGGCTGCAGCATCCAGGCTGGGTGTGGCTGCTGTGACATCAACCAAGACAGCTGATGAGAAAGTGAGTTGGAAGATGCAGTTACTGTCTTCTCCCTCCCCTCCCCCAACAGGTCCCCGGGCCAGGCCAGCTGCTGAGTCCACCGGGCCGGAAGCCACATTCCCTGAGTCCACACCCTTGGCCGGGGTGGGCACCCCAGCCGCCGGGTGGGACTGCCAGCCGCCTGACTGTGCAGCCTCAGCCGCAGGCTCCGGCACAGACGATGGGGAGTTGGCCGCGGCGTTTCCAGCCTCAGAAGACTGGGGCTGCGAGCTGGAAGGCATGGTGGAAGAGAGGCCAGCCCCGTGCCCATCCCCACAGGCCCCACTGCTCAGCCTCGGCTGGGATGACGAGCTGCAGAAGCCCGGGGCCCAGGTCTACATGCACTTCATGCAGGAGCACACCTGCTATGATGCCATGGCAACCAGCTCCAAGCTGGTCATCTTTGACACCACGCTGGAGGTGAGGCCACGGTGCGGCGCTGTCTGAGTTTGGTCTCCAGCCTCACAGCACTGGCCCCACCAAGTCCCCTTCATCACGCAGACAGGGGGGCTGGGTGGGGGAGTGGCTTATGTTTCCAAAGAGCTCACCTTAGGACCTGTAGCTCTAACCTTAGCACAGGCAGGGTATACTCCAGGAGAAATAGAATGAGCATGAGCCGGGGTGGGGGTGGGGTGGTCCTGAAACATGGGACAGGTATTGATCACAAGTACACAGTTGGTCTCTGGTGAATGGTGAGCACATGTCTTCATCACAGTACCCAAAAAATACAACCGGCACGTAGAATGGGGTTGCTTGAGGTGAGGCTCAAATGAGTCAATATCCAATCTATTTAGGGGGAAAAAAATGGAAGCAAATATGCAAATACTATGTAAATCTCTACGGACTATGTAAACTCTAGGACTTGGAGTAGCAAAACTGAGTCTATGGATTTCCAAGAACCCTGGTGTGCCTGACCCCTCAGTGCCTCTGGCAGCCCAACCCATGCAGCAAACAGATCCACAGTGACTGCTGTGTGTGCCAGTGTGTGCCATGACCGTGACGGGCCAGCTATACCCAACTGTACATGGGACATAGAGGGCTCAGCCTGCAGGCGAGTAGGTGGGGGGAGGTGTCTGAAACTTCGTGGTGTTTCACCCCCTGTACTTCCTGCCCTGCCCTCAGATCAAGAAGGCCTTCTTTGCCCTGGTGGCCAATGGCGTGCGGGCAGCACCACTGTGGGACAGCAAGAAGCAGAGCTTTGTGGGTAAGGAGAGGCTGGGGGCAGGGCGTGGAGAGCAGGAGGGGCTGGCAATGGGACCCCAGGCTGAGCCAAGCCTGGGGGGCCAGGGCCAGCAGCCAGCAGGGATCTGGACTCAGTTTCCCCGCTCTGAGAGTTGGGACCAATGGTTTGATGCCCCTGGTGCTAAGTAGCGAAAGAGGAAAGGAGAGGCAGGAATGAGGAGACCCGTTTCTCAGGCGTGGGAGAGGCTGCCCCACTGTGGTCTCTCCACGATCGCACTGCATCTTGGGACAAGGACACTGGCAGGGCAGGCCAGGGCGTGTGACCCCTCAACCTGCTTGCCACCGAAAGGCTGACCATGTCCCTGCCCTCCGCCCCCTCCCTGCAGGGATGCTGACCATCACAGACTTCATCTTGGTGCTGCATCGGTACTACCGGTCCCCGCTGGTGAGGAAGGGGCTGGGGGTCCTGGGGGCGCCCAGGTGGGCAGGGGTGGAGGGAGCGTCTCCAAGGAGCCCGGTGCCCGAGGGGCACACCTCTGACTTCGGGGGGCCTCTCTGTGTCTGTAGGTCCAGATCTACGAGATTGAAGAGCACAAGATTGAGACCTGGAGGGGTGAGGAGAGGGGACCCCAAAGCGGACTGTGTGGCTGGGGGAGGGTGCGGCAGTGGTGCAGGGGAGGGGAGGGGGGAGTCTGCAGCCGCAGTGCCCTGGGCTGACTCAGGCTCGCCCACAGAGATTTACCTGCAAGGCTGCTTCAAGCCGCTGGTCTCCATCTCACCCAGTGACAGGTAAGCACCCCCCACCATGCACCCGAGCCCCTTGATCGCACTCAGCCCTGAACCAACCTCCTTGTCCTCGGCAGCCCTGTTCCCCTTTGCAGGGGACGGGGGTGGAGCTGCCCTCAGACTTCTGCTTCTACCTCGGCAGCCTGTTCGAAGCTGTCTACACCCTCATCAAGAACCGGATCCATCGGCTGCCTGTGCTGGACCCGGTCTCGGGCACCGTGCTCTACATCCTCACGCACAAGCGGCTGCTCAAGTTCCTGCACATCTTTGTGAGGCTGGCTCCGGGCGAGCGAGAGGGTGTGGGGGAGAGGCCAGAGGGGCCGAGAAGCCTTCAAGCTTCGGATGGGGCGGGGGGAGGAGCGGGAGCCCTGCAGGGGCTGGCCACCGGCCCCTGGTCACCACCACGAACCCACCCCATCCAGGGTACCCTGCTGCCCCGGCCCTCCTTCCTCTGCCGGACTATCCAGGATCTGGGCATCGGTACATTCCGAGACTTGGCCGTGGTGCTCGAAACGGCGCCCGTCCTGACGGCTCTGGACATCTTCGTGGACCGACGCGTGTCTGCGCTGCCTGTGATCAATGAATCAGGTACCCACATCCAAGACCAGGGGCTCTGGCTGGCGCAGGGGCGAGGGAGGGCATGCTGGGCAGGGGCAGGGGTCTGTGTGGCCAGAAGACCCCGGCAGCCACTCAGCCTGTCTGTGCTTTAGCTCCCTCGCGGGTGCAGTGGGAACCCTCCCACCAGCCGTCCCTGGGCCTCCCCTGGAGAGCTTACATGGTGAAGTCAGCGACAGAATGGGCGGGCCGAGAGGAAACAGCTGGGAGCCAGGTTGTCAGTATCAGATCCCCCCGAAACAGGCCGCGCAAGCATGGGCCTCCAGCCAGCTCTCAATTTCCTGTCCCGAAAAAGGGCTAGAGGGAGGGATTATTTCTTCAGCTGGAAGATGGCCGTAACATACTTCAAAGTTAAAATCACCATGGTAATGCTGGATAGTAAGAAGTGTTTTGAACTTATTTTTGATTAAGAAAAATTTCAAATGAATGAAAGGGTAGAAAAAAATCCTATAATGAACCCCATATTTCCATTGCCTGGATTAACTGCTGATAACTTATTGCCATCAGCAGTTCATTTTTTTTGAAGCAATTTAAAGTGAATTACAAGCATTGTCTCATTTCATCCATAAATGCTTAAATCTGCTTCTCTTAAAATAAGCAGATTATGGCCAGCACCGCGGCTCACTAGGCTAATCTTCCACCTTGCGGCGCCGGCACACTGGGTTCTAGTCCCGGTCAGGGCGCCAGATTCTGTCCCGGTTGCCCCTCTTCCAGACCAGCTCTCTGCTGTGGCCCGGGAGTGCAGTGGAGGATGGCCCAAGTGCTTGGGCCCTGCACCCCATGGGAGACCAGGAGAAGCACCTGGCACCTGGCTTCGGATCAGCGCAGTGCGCCGGCCATGGCAGCCATTTTGGGGGTGAACCAACGGAAGGAAGACCTTTCTGTCTCTCTCTCTCTCACTAACTCTGCCAGGCAGAGTGAACAGTGAGAGAGACAGAGAGAAAGGTCTTCCCTTGCCGTTGGTTCACCCTCCAATGGCCGCCGTGGCCGGCGCCCTGTGGCCAGCGCACCGCGCTGATCCGATGGCAGGAGCCAGGTGCTTCTCCTGGTCTCCCATGGGGTGCAGGGCCCAAGCACTTGGGCTATCCTCCACTGCACTCCCTGGCCACAGCAGAGAGCTGGCCTGGAAGAGGGGCAACCGGGACAGAATCCGGTGCCCCGACCGGGACTAGAACCCGGTGTGCCGGTGCCGCAAGGCAGAGGATTAGCCTAGTGAGCCGCGGCGCCGGCCAAGAGCATCTTTTTTTTTTAAGCGCTGATTTGTTCAGACCAGGAGCCAGTTAAGGTCCACAGCTTGCATTGTGTCTTTTGTCCCTTGAGACCTTTTCCTGTTGATTTTCGTGACAGTGATACATTGTCCTTGGTGGGTCCGTTTGCCTCCCAGAGGTGGCCTGCACCCTCTTCCTCTGTCCTTGAGCTTCCTGTAGATGGGAATGTAGACAGTCTTGATGGGGTTCAGACAGCATGTCCGAGGTAGAGGTTCCTGAGGGGGCGCCGCGCCCCGGTGCTGCCTCGTCTCACTCTCTGGGTTTAGGAAGTGGCGGCCCGATGACTCATCAGGAAGCCGGGACCTGGGGGCATGGCGGGGAGCTCATTCCCAAAGTCTGCCCCAGCACAGCACCCGGGTTCTGATGTGAGCCTCTCCCTGCCTTTCCCCCGCCCCTCCCCTACTGCAGGTCAGGTCGTGGGCCTCTACTCCCGCTTTGATGTGATCGTAAGTGTGGATGGGGAGCTGGGGGGGGGAGGTGGTGGTGTGAGCACCAGTAGGGGAACTTGGTAGACATGGGGGGACATTTCTGAGGGGGGCTGGAGCCTGAACGGGGGAGTGACCAAGAGCCCCCCTTTGTTCCCTACCCCAGCACCTGGCTGCCCAGCAAACCTACAACCACCTGGACATGAGTGTGGGGGAAGCCCTGAGGCAGAGGACAGTGTGCCTGGAGGGGGTCCTCTCCTGCCAGCCCCACGAGACCCTGGGGGAAGTCATCGACAGGATTGCACGGGAACAGGTACCCCATGCGCCTCCAGGCGCCTCCCCACCCCCACACAGCTCTGTTCTTCTATTCCTGTACGCTGTGCACCTGCTCCGTCCTTCCACTTCCCGACAACTCTTTTCATGACCACGGGGCCCTGGTGCCAAGGGCCACAGCCAGCTTGCATGGCTGCCTGCTTCCTGGGAGATCCCCTCTCGTCCCTGTCCCCAGCCCCGTCAACTTCCTCACCCTGTTTCTTGGGTCCGACCTCTTCCATGGCCATGGTCCCCTGGCTCTGCGCCCTCACTGAGCACGGTCTGCCCACAGGTGCACCGGCTGGTGCTAGTGGATGAGACCCAGCATCTCCTGGGCGTGGTCTCCCTCTCCGACATTCTGCAGGCGCTGGTGCTCAGCCCTGCTGGCATCGACGCCCTCGGTGCCTGAGAACACTGAGTCCTCCCTCCCGGGCCACCTTCTGCACCTGAAGCCAATGAAGGGAGCCGGGGGAACTCGGCCTTCGTCTTCCCCACCCGTTTGCTGGCTCAGCTCTGTCTGGTTCAGGTAGGCTGCACCCTGGGTCTTTCTGGGCTCTCAGATCTCAGATTGGGGCCCACTCCATGTGGCCCCCATGGAAACTCACCAGCCACCACTTTGTCCCATGCTCAGCCGAAGTCCTGGAGGCCTTCCCGGGAGGGGGTGAGGGGACAGAGGATGAGCTAAAGACAAGGATTTCAGGGGCCCTGGGATGGAGTCCCCGCTGTCTCGCTGGCAATACAGCATCTGCTGGGAGATCCATGACAAGGGAGCAAGCTAACAAACCCTTGCTGAGTGGAATCTCCATGCATGAATTCCACCCAGGACTCCCCAGTAGGAGGCAGCTCCCCCTCCTTGCCTGGTCACCGTCTTTGCTTCTGTCTCCCTCACAGATGTCTCCAGCCCTTTCCCTGCCTGTGCTCCCAGAAGCCCTTGGGCGCAGCCACTGCACCATGGGACGATGAGATGAAAGAGAACAGCTAAGCCTGGAGGCCCCTGCACCAACCCTCTGGGATGGCCCCAGGGACACCTGTGCTCCATGACCGCCGGGATTCCTTCCCTCACCTGGGTCAGGACTGGCCCTAGGGGGCAGCAGTGAGCCTGCAGCCCATGGGGTCAGTCAGGGGCTCCAGGTCCCTCGGCTTCGGGATTGCCCCCTACTCACACCCCCAGCCCCTGGGAGTCCCAGCTAGTCATTCAGGGGCTAACTTCACCACCGTCCTCGGACTCTCCCGGCATTGTCGCTCCAGGGCTGCTGGGAGTCACCACGGAGCCACAGTTACTACAGAGCTGCCTGCGGAGTGGGGTCCTCCCTCCGCGCTTCCCCAGAAAGCCCTTAGCTCTCCGCAGCGAGCAGGGCTGCCAGTCCCTGCTGGTGGGTGGCCTTGTATTCGGATCCCTGAGAACAAGCAACGGAAAAAGCAAAAAGAACAATCCCCGAAACCGGCTCTTAGTAGGGCTCACTCAAAATGGCACAGTCATCTAACCTGAGCTTGTGGCAAGATCCCTGTGCTGTCTGAATTCAAAAACGCCAACGAAAATCTGCAGTCGGCAAAAGCTGCAAGTGGCATTTCCTTTGTACCCAAAGTGTATTCCACCAAAATTCCTTTTTTACCTTTTGTTTATAACAAAACCATAACTACCTATGTCTATGGCAGGAAGCACTCCATCTACCAACTCTAAGCTGTGAGAAATATAACTTGTCTAACACCGAGACTCATTTCTACCGTGAACCTGATCTCCACTGTGTACCCCATTTCGATTCGGGGTTAAGATCGGGAGAGAGGGCCGGCACCACGGCTCACTAGGCTAATCCTCCGCCTAGCGGCGCCGGCACACCGGGTTCTAGTCCCGGTCGGGGCGCCGGATTCTGTCCCGGTTGCCCCTCTTCCAGGCCAGCTCTCTGCTGTGGCCAGGGAGTGCAGTGGAGGATGGCCCAGGTGCTTGGGCCCTGCACCCCATGGGAGACCAGGAAAAGCACCTGGCTCCTGGCTCCTGCCATCGGATCAGCGCGGTGCGCCGGCCGTCAGCGCGCCGGCCGCGGCGGCCATTGGAGGGTGAACCAACGGCAAAGGAAGACCTTTCTCTCTGTCTCTCTCTCTCTCACTGTCCACTCTGCCTGTCAAAAAAAAAAAAAAAAAAAAAAAAAAAACAAGATTGGGAGAGAGGGGTGCTTTATGTGGTGCTAGACTTTGCTCCTTAGCCATCAGCACCCATCTGTGCCAGCACCTGCCAAAGCAGGCTTCCACCAGGTTGCTGGTCACTGGTCGTCAGTGCCGGTTGCGACCTCACTCCCACGAAGCTTCTGCACTGGAACTGCAGAACACTCTAGTCAAGCCTGGAGCCCTGGCTCAGAAGTGGTGAGCTGTCAGCGCACATGCTCGATCTGCAGCAGACTTTCCTATGGACAGTCCTTCTGACCCTGTTCTCAAGGACCCCAGAAACCCCCACACTCTCCTCTTCGCTCCTCACCACTCCCTGCCAACTCCGGAATCTCTACCAGTGGGAAGGGGGTCCTTGTTCTCAAACCCATCTTCCAGACCCCCTGCATGTGTGTCCCGTATGTCCGGTGTGGCCTGAGTTCCTGCCACCCACTTGGAGAATCAGGCTTTTGAAATTCCAAAGTCAAGGTCGCGACGTGGTGGTGGGCTCTGCAGGTCTGGCTGTGCTCCTAAACTTGGTCGAATGTGGTCCTGCCCACTTTGCCTCCCAGGGTCGGAGTGGACGCGTCTGTGCCTCAGCCATCGGGCGGTGAATGGTGGGGTTTTCTCACTCAACACTTTGCTCGCACCCGAGGGCCAGTTGGCGCTGGCTCTGCTTCAGCCCTACTCCAGAAGCTCTGGGGTCTTGGCTCAAGTGGGAGCGTGCGATGGGGTGAGCTTGGGTGTGAAGGAAGAGAGGCTCTCTAAGATGGCCATGTCCTAGATCAGAGATTTTGTGTTCAAGTGCCGGCTCTGCCCTCAGTTCCAGCTCCCTGCTAATGTGCACCCTGGGAGGCAGCAGGTGACGGCTCAAGTTCTTGGGCCCCTGCCACCCACGTGGGAGACTCAGATGGAGTTCCCAACTCCTGGCTTCGGCCTGGCTCAGCCCCAGCTGCTGTAGGCATTTGGGAAGTGAGTCAGTGGATGGGAGAGCCCTCTCTACCTCTCAAATAACAATAAGTAGATATTTGAAAAAGATCATCTCTCAAGGGGGAGTCTGAGGGGGGCTGTCTCCAGCTGTGACCGGGAAAGGGAAACAGGTGAGTCCTTTGTATTATGTATTAATATATTTGACAGAGAGAGAGAGAGAGAGAGAGAGAGAGAGAGGTTTTCCACCCTCTGGTTTACCCCCAAATGCCTGCAATGGCTGGAGCTGGACCAGGACAAAGCCAGGAGCCTGGAACTCCATCCAGGTGTTCCACACGGGCAGCAGAAGTCCATGTACTTGACCCATCCTCTGCTGCCTTCCCAGATGCCTTAGCAGGGAGCTGGATGGGAATTGGAGCAGCCAGGACTTGAACCAGCATTCTGAAAAGGGAATGTGGGCATTGCAAGCCTACGACTTAACCCACTGAGCCAGCGCCACCCCCACCCACCACGTCCTTCTGTGGGGAGCATCCACCCCTGCCCACCTCAGGCACCCTCCTCACAGCACAGCCCACCCCCTCCCCACCGCATGCAGCATCCCAGCCCTTGTAGGAGAGGCAGAGGTGCCAGGTGGCTGTAACTGCTTCCATTCCAGATCAGAACAGGCTGCCCTGCCACCCCGTTTCCATGTGAACCTAGGCTGGGCTGCTTTGTTCTGCATCGTTGGCCTCCTGTCCCCAGCTCCTCCTCAGCCCACCAGGGCCTCTCTGTGTCCCCGTGGCCTCCGGGCCAGACTCCCATAGCCTCCTTTCCCTTCTTCATAGCCCTCTAATGGTGTGGGATCCCTAGGGAAGCTTTATAAAATGCGGATTCCAGGGCCCCGTTCCCAGAGATACCACTTTCCTGATTTGGAGTTGGGATCTGGGTTTCTGTATTTATTTTCCATAAGCAGATGATGAGCTGAGACCGTGCTCACTCTGTGAGTAAAATCATTTGTCGCTTTATTGGGTCTTGTTATTTAATTATGACTAAAGTCTGCAAGAAGCATCGGCTAACTGTCAATGTTAGAAAAGTGGCACCACTTTTCTCCCAAACATCCTTGCATACAGAAGTAGTCAGTCCAGTGTCACATGTGTCCATTCCATGGTGACAACTGTCAACTGGGTCACTAGATACACAGTAAAACTGGAATCGTGGAACTAAACCCCTGTTACCCAGCCAAAATGCACTCAGAGCCCAAACTTCTGTAGAATACGGCATGTAGACAGCCAGACAGCACTGGGTGCCCAACTTTTACCCCTAAGAGACAGTTGGGTGGGTGCTGGGACACAGCAAGTTAAGCTGCCACCTGCATTCCAACACCAGCATCCAATAGCCAAGTGCCAATCTGAGTGAGACTCAGCTTCCTGCTAGTGCACCCTGGGAGACAGCGAAGATGGCTCAAGTGTTTGGGCCCCTGCCACCCACATGGGAGACCCCGATGGAGTTCTGAGCTCCTAGCTTGGCCTGGTCCAGTCCTGGCTGTTCCATTCATTTAGGGAGTGAACCAGCGGATGGAAGATCTCTGTCTCTCTCTCTCACTCTGCCTTTCAAGTAGATGAAAAATAAATTAAAAATAAACTTTTTTTTTTAAAGAACACAGCTTTTTTCTTAAAGCCTTACCAAAATATAGATCCTAATATGGTCAACAAATTCAAATGAACTAGAATAAGAGTAACAACTACACCCATTCTTTTTAGTTAAAGGAATATCTGTCACATCTGCACTTCTGCAGGTGTTCCCAAGCCAGTACTGGTCCTCTCTCCTTATGGAAGCAAGTCAGGGCGGGCCAGCAGGAAGTCTCACTGCGACATCCCTTCACAGTGACTCCCGGGGTCTCTAAGTCGAGACCCTGACTCTGGAAGGGCATCCCATCACCACTGGCCACTGCTGGACTTTGTGGCAACCCTCATACAGGGCTGATGCTTCTCACCCCGCAGAGAGAAAGCTGCCAGGGAGGGACCCAGGGAGGGACCCACCCACCCCACCCCCGCCCACACCCACACCCTCACCCCTACGACCTCGCATCAGTCCTCCAGCTAGTCCATGCGTTTGAAGGAATCACTGGCAAAGGAATTGAGTGACTTCTTGTCCCCCAGAGGCTGATGAGCTGGAGGCTTGGTCCTCATTGTGGCTGTGTTGAAGTGGCGGAAGCTTCCGCCGGTGGAGCCCAGCGGGAGCTCCTGGGTCACTGAGGGCACTGCCCTGGGAAGGGAGTATTGCTGGTCTTGAGGAGTGAGTTGTTCCTGCCCAGAGGGCTGTAACAAAACAAGGCTATCCCACGTGGTTGGCCCCTGCTCCCCTCCCTGTGGTTGCACCACAGCAAGGGGGCTGTCGTGAACTCTCAGAACTGTGAGTCTTATCATGTTTCTTCATATGCACCCAGCCTCGGGTATTTTGTTACAGTCTCAGAAAATGGACTAAAGCAATGTGCGGTCTTGTGCAGCCGCTGTGATGGGATCAAGAGACGGAGGCCATTCCCTACTCCCAAGACGAACTAAATAATTCCATGTACACTTACGGGACATGCGTTCTTCTGTGTGGCTATATTACCTATCAACCAAAATCTTTCTAAAATTAAAAAAAAAAAAAATGGGGCTGGCATGGCGCAGCAGGTTAAGCCACCGCCTACAATGCCGGTTTCCCATATTGGAGCACCAGTGTGTGTCCTGGCTGCTCTGCTCTCTTTCAGATTGCCAATGTACCTGGGAAAGCAGTGGGAGACGCCCCAAGGACTTGGGCCGCTGGCACCCACGTGGAAGACCCTGATGGAGTTCCAGGCTCCTGGCTTTGGCCTGCCCCAGCCCTTGCAACCATCTGGGGAATGAACCACCAGATCAAAGATTTCTCTCTGTCTGTTTCTCCCTTTCAAATAAATTTTAAAATCTTAAAAAAAAAAAGGCGAGTGCAGAGAGCTCTTTGGCCACGCTGGGTCTGATCCTCTGTGTCCCGCGTGGGACTCTGACTCTCCTCTTCCTCGTGGCTTTCTGGTCCTGGCCTCTGTGCCACGGCTTCCCATTTGCGTTACTTCTTCCTTCTGTGTTCTGCCACAGATGGCAAATCCTTGTTGAGGGAGCCCCTGAAGCCGTGCCTACCGCTCACGGAAGTGTGTGGAAACAGAGCCTAGGACTCGGTCGTGTGGCTGATTTGCCTTTAGAAGAAGAGGGAGAAGGTGGAGGAGGGGGAGAGTGGGAGGAGGAAGAGGAGGAGGAGAAGGAGAAGCAGCAACAGCAGGAGAAGCAGCAGCAGCAACTTGGAACGCCTGCATCTCATATCAGAGTCCCTAGGTTCGAGTCCCGGCTCCACTTCCAACCCAGCTTCCTGCTCGTGCACACCCTGGGAGGCAGCAGGTGACAGCTAAAGTATTTGGGTCCCTGCCACCCACGTGGGAGACTCAGACTGAGCTCCTGACTCCTAGATTTGGCCTGGCCCCACCCAGCTGCTGCAGGTATTTGGGGAGTGAACATTGGATGGGTTTTGTTTCTCTCTCATCCTTTCAAATAAATTAAAAAAAAAAAAAAAAAAGGAATCGGCCTGGCGCCACAGCTCACTAAGCTAATCCTCCGCCTGCGGTGCCGGCACCCCGGGGTTCTAGTCCCGGATGGGGTGCTGGATTCTGTTCCGGTTGCCCCTCTTCCAGGCCAGCTCTCTGCTGTGCCCCAGGAGGGCAGTGGAGGATGGCCCAAGTGCTTGGGCCCTGCACCTGCATGGGAGACCAGGAGAAGCACCTGGCTCTTGGCTTCGGATCAGCACAGCACGCCGGCCATAGCAGCCATTTTGGGGGTGAACCAATGGGAGGAAGACCTTTCTCTGTCTCGCTCTCTCACTAACTCTGCCTGTCCAAAAAAAAAAAAAAAAGGGGGGGGGGGGGGCTAAAAAAAAAAAAAGGAACCTTCTGGAGGTACTGATTACATTTGACTGTTTCTACATTAACCTCGCCACACTGATTGCCGCAGATTTTTTTCCCGTTGAAATGAATTCACATACCAACAACTTCACCCTTTCAAAGTACACAGTTCAGTGGCAAGCACTCCTCACCAGCATCTAATTCCAGAACATGATCCCGTATCTGTTAGCAGTCCCTCCCGGGCCCCCTGCCCCAGCCCCTGGCCCCCACTTGCTGCGTCTCCAGGTTGCCCGTCCTGAACTCCTCGGGTACCCGGACTCAGGCAGTATGTGGCGTCTCTGGCTTCGTGTCTGGCTTCTTTCACTCAGCAGGTTTCCAGGACTCACCCACGTGGTAACATGAATTTGCACATTTCTATTTTTATGGCTTAACGAGATTCCATTGTATATAGAGGATATTCACGATTCCTTCTGGATGTATACTTGTTTTCTTTATATTTTTAATATAAATTTTTAATATAATTTAATGTTTTCAACATTTTTGATTGTACGTGTTTACGGCGTATAACATGTATTGATGTATATATACATGACGGAGTGGTTAACTGGAGCTATCCAACGTCAGCACTGCCTCAACATCTGAAGTTTAATTTTTTTTTTTATTATTTGACAGACAGAGTTATAGACAGAGAGAGAGAGAGACAGAGAGAAAGGTCTTCCTTCCGTTGGTTCACCCCCCAAATGGCTGCCACTGCAGGCGCTATGCCGACCCGAAGCCAGGAGCCAAGTGCTTCCTCCTGGTCTCCCATGCGGGTGCAGGGCCCAAGCACCTGGGCCATCCTCCACTGCCCTCCTGGGCCACAGCAGAGAGCTGGACTGGAAGAGGAGCAACCGGGACTAGAACCCAGCACCCACATGGGATGCCGGCGCCGCAGGCAGAGGATTAACCTAGTGAGCCACAGCGCCGTCCTCCCTTAAGTTTACTCTTAATGGTTTTCAATTATACAGTAGAGTTGTTAGCATCATGATGGCCAATGGAGCGCTTGAATTTCTTCTCATCGACCTGAGATTTTGTGTCCTTTGCCACCTCTCCCGGTCCCCTCACCCCTGACTGAGCCATGGGAAGCACCCTTTGGATCTGTTTCTGCGAGTTGGGCTTCTTCAGATGAGACGTCCGACGGCAGGAAATAGGGGGTCTGCGGTGTCTTTCTGTGTCTGGCTCAGTTCATCATCCTCCAGGTTCACCCGTGTCACACATGGTGGGATTTCTGTGGGCTTCCTAAGGTTTATTTATTTTAAGTAGTCTTTAACGGTTTGTTTATTTTCATTTTATTCAAAAGACAGACAATGAGACAGACAGAGCTCTTCCATCCTCTGGTTCACTTCAAAAATGCCCGCAACAGCTGTACTGGACCAGGCCAAAGCTGGGAACCAGGAACTCCGCCAGGTCTGCCACATGGGTGGCAGGGACCCCAGGACTTGAGCCATCCCGGGACGTGCATCAGCAGGAAGCTGGGTTGGAAGCAGAGTAACTGGGACTTGGATCAGTTACTCCAGTACGGGATGTAAGTGTCCCAAGAGGCAACTTAAACTGCTGTGCCAAATGCTTACCCTTATTTTTAAATTATTATTATTATTATTATCTGAAGGCAGAATGACAGACAGGCATAGAGAGACCTTCCATTGGCTGGTTCACTCCTCAAATGCCCACAAGAGCCAATGCTGGGTAAGGCCATGGCCGGAAGCCTGGAACTCCATTAGGGTCTCCCACATGGATGGCAGGGACTCAAACATGAGAGCCATCAGCTGCTGCCTCCCAGGGTGTGCATTAACAGGAAGTTGGAGCCGGTGCCGTGGCTCAATAGGCTAATCCTCCACCTTGCGGCGCCGGCACACCGGGTTCTAGTCCCAGTCGGGGCGCCGGATTCTGTCCCGGTTGCCCCTCTTCCAGGCCAGCTCTCGGCTATGGCCAGGGAGTGCAGTGGAGGATGGCCCAGGTGCTTGGGCCCTGCACCCCATGGAAGACCAGGAAAAGCACCTGGATCCTGGCTCCTGCCATCGGATCAGCGCGGTGCGCCGGCTGCAGCGGCGGCCATTGGAGGGTGAACCAACGGCAAAGGAAGACCTTTCTCTCTGTCTCTCTCTCTCACTGTCCACTCTGCCTGTCAACAAAAAAAAAAAAAAAAAAACAGGAAGTTGGATCAGAATGGAATAGGGACTCGAACCCAGGCACTCCAACATGGGACGCAGTGTCTTAACTGCTGTGCCAATACCTGTCTGCCCCCTTTCTCTTGCTTGAGGCTAAGTAATATGCCAGTGTGTCTAGACATCACGTTTGCTTTATCTATTTATCCTCGGGTAGACAGTGGGTGGATTCCACATCTTGGCTGTTGTGAATCTACAGTGAATATTGGAGCGCAGGCATCACTTCAACGTATCTCTCCTGCCCTTCGGACATACACCTGGCAGCGGAATTACTAGATCATATGGAAGTTTTCTTTTTAATACTTTGAGGAGCCTCCATGCTGTTTTTCATAATGGAAATCCTCATGAGTTTCTCTCCTTTTTTTTCGAAAGGTGGAACAACAGAGAGACAGCCTGACAGAGAGATCACCCATCTGCTGGGTTACTCCCCAAATGCTTACAACAGCCGGCGCTGGGCCAGGCCAAAGCCAGGAGCCTGGGACTCCATCAGGGTCTCCCATGTGGGCAACAGGGACCCAAGTACTTGAGCCACTGCGCTGCCTCCCAGGGTGTCTATCAACAGGAGGCTGGAATCAGAAGCAGAGTGTCCAGGCATGGGAGGCTGGCATCTCAAGCCGTGCCAAACACACACCACCTTCCTGGATGAATGTGAACTTAGCCTAATAAATCCATGAACTCAGCTGCAGACCACGAACACTGACAGCCACTACAAAACTCCAGTTGCACCCAGTAACACCACACAGATGTCCACCCCAACCCCAGCACCAGCACGGAGGGGTTGGTGTAGCCCCCGCAGCTCAGTCCTGCTGGTTTGAGGGAGTAGCACCCTGGGCAAGACACAAGTCTCCCGTCGCCGACTTTGTGACAGCGACCCTGGCACCTCTGTGCCCAGCCCCTCTCCTCTGCATTTATGACAGGCTCTCCCAGGAAAACCCACTGCACAGGTTGGGTGGACAGCCAGTCCTTAGTAGAGGAATTCCATCCAATTTCCTCCAGGTGCCTCTTCTCAACGTAGAAAACTGTGTCTTCTGCTCCCCTCCCCTCCTCTCCCTCCCCTTCCCTCCTCTCCTCTCCTCTCCCTCCCCTCCCCTTCCCCTACTCCAGTCCTTTCTCACTCAACAACCTGCTGGCGGCTTGGTCTGTGCTCACAGCTGGTCCGGGAGACTGTGGGGCGACAGCGGGGCAGGCAGGCGTGCCCAAGGCGAGGCTGGGGAAGGGCTCCCCATAGCCCGGAGGGATCAGGGAGGGCTTTGCAGAGCCAATGACATTTGAGCTGAGTCCCGGGGATGAGCACATTATCTGGGATGATGTGACAGTTGGTGAAGAGGCTGTTCCAAGAGAGGGCACAGCAAGTACCAAGTGTTGAGGCCACAAAGAGCATAATGTGCTGGGGGGCAGGCAAGGAAGTCGGCTCTGCCCTGGAAAGGGGTAGAAAGTACTACAACACAGTCAGCCGGCCAAGCCGCAGGAAGACTTTGGGCCCCTGCAGAATTTTAATCAGGGCGATGCATGACGGGATTCTGAAAAATTATGACAAAGTCCATTTACTTTTTTTTCTTTCCTATGATTTAGCAAAAATTTACACTGGGGCTGGGGCTTGGGCTCGCAGAGTTTCCAGGCTGGGGGCGGGTTCCCCTGTCTCCTGTGGCTTTCTGTGCTAAAGAGGCCAGAAAGCTAGAAACAACGACGCCCACGGGAGCACCTAAGCTGCTCTCACACACAACCAGGCCAGATCTGGGAGGTGGGAGAGGCGGAGGCTGGGCTGGGTCCACCCCTACTCCTCCGGCCGCCGGGCAGCTGGGAGGCGCTAGCACAGGTCCGAGGGCCGCTGCTCTTGGCCTCCAGGGTACTGAGAGTTTTAGCGCCGTTACTGAGTTGGAGTGACAGCTCCCCCGTTCCCCGCTCCCCAGCCCACTCCGAGGTCAGCTCCAGGCCCGCCTACAGCTCTTCCAGGAACTCTTGTGCGACAGTTGCTATGGCTCAGCACTTCCCGGGGGGTGGCTCCTGCCTTTGACGGCCAAAGGGCCCAGTGCTGTGCCCTGTGAGGCTCAAGCCTCTGGGTGATGTTCTCAGAGGGAGGCAGCTGGACCCCCACCGTGATTCCCAGGTGGGAAAGGGCATTCCCCAGGCACAGGAAGGGGTTTGGATGCTGGCTAGCCACAAAGAACGACCCAGGTCTCGGGAGTTAACAAAAGTCCTTTATTCCATACGGTGGCCAAGGACAGCAATGCACTGAGGGAGGGGCCTTGCATCTGAGTGGGAGCTGCTGCAAAGGATCCAAGTGGCCAAAGCTCGGGGTTCTGTGAGAAGGGGCCCTGGGATCTTCCGGCCCCTTCTCTCCCTCCTCACCTGAGACACGGCAGTGGCCAGGAGCCACGGTGCCAGGGGCTGGGACAAGCCCCCGAGGGCAGGGTCTGGCTCAGCGCTGCGTGGGCAGGAAGCGCAGGCCCACCTTCTTATTGGGAACGAGGACGATGCGGGCCACGCTCTGCACCTCTCCCGTCTCAGGCGCCAGCATCAGCTCATACCGCTGGATCAGCTGGGAGGCAGAGAACACACACACACACACACACACACACACGGGCCATCGGCGTCTGTGCCTCCCACCCACTGCCCCGGTCTGCACGCTCCCACCTGACCCTCCCTGCCTCCTCCTGGAGGACCCCACATCTCCCTGCAGCCTCTCCCCACTCACCCTGGCCAGCAGCAGCTGCATCTCTAGTTCCGCTATCCTGCGGCCGAGGCAGGCCCGGACCCCGTAGCCAAAGGGCACAGAGCCAAACGGGTGCTGGGTCTTAGAGGTCTCGGGCTGGCCTTTCCTCAACCAGCGGTAGGGCCAGAAGGTGTCAGGCTCAGAGAAGGTGCTGGGGTCCCGGGACGTCACATAATGGCAGAACACAAACTGGGTCTATGGAAGAAGAACGGTCGGCGCTGACTCCATCCGCCTGGGCGGCCCACACTCCCGGGCCCCGCGCTCTGCAGCCCCACTCACGTTCTTGGGGAAGAGGAAGCCGCCGACTTCGATCTCCTTGTCCACGATGATGCGGGAGTTTGCAGGGATCACCGGGTACAGACTGCAGGGAGAGGGAAGTCTGGAGTCTGGATTCAAGCGTGGAGGCGCAGTGCCTGCCCCTTTCCTACCCCTGTAGCCCCCAGCCCCAATTCCCATCCCCTCCATGCCCAGCCCCCACTTCCTACTCTCAGCTCTGACTCCGCCCACACACCTAAGGGTCTGTGCTGGGGGTGGGGGGTGCTGCAGCCTACCGCAGGGTCTCCTTCAGCACCGCTTTGAGCAGGGGCATGTGGGCAAAGTCCTTGTGCTGCGGCACCTGCCCGGCTGCCACCACACCCACCACCTCCTTGCGCAAGGCCGCCTGGATCTCTGGGTTCTTTGAAAGGTGGTATAGGGCCCACGTGAGCGTGTTGGACGTCTAGGAGCAGAGTGGGAGATGCAATGAGGGGGCATTCTAGGAGAGGCGCCAGCGGGGTGGGGAGTGTATGAGTGGGTGCATGCGAAATATCAGGGGGTGGGGGAAGTAACTTGCCCCAACACGGAGGTTCACGGGGAGTTCAGTACCTATTGTGCCTCCACACTGGGACGAGGCACGTAGGAGAAGGCAATAACAAAGAGAGACATAGCAGGCCGAAAAGCTGGATGGAAGGTGCTTGGGGACACACTTTCCACTGTCCCCTTAAACTGCAGCAAGCCAGAGGCAGAGTGCACGTGAGATGCCGGGAGTCACGGGCCCCCCTGCAGGACCAGCCCCCGCTCGCTCCGGCAGGGCTGTGTGCCCTATGCGTCCTCCCAGCATCGCATCCGCGTCAGAGAGAGAAGCAGAGGAAGGTCATGGTCAGTCGGCGGGTAACAGAGAAGGTGGCCCAGGACAGGAGCTGGGACCTTCACACACCGTGTCCACTCCGGCCAGCAGGAGCTCGGGCAGGCTGCCCAGGGCCTCTCGGGGACTCAGCTGTCCACTGGTCAGCAGGGAATGCAGGTAGCCGGATACCTGGACCCCATCTGACCCCGCTGACTGCAGCTGGGCCACCACCTCCTGAAGTTTCTGATCAATGAGATTCTTCCCTGCAGGTGCAATGGAGAATGGGAGGGAATGAGGCCAGCAGTCCTGACCTCCGGGGCTCGGGACCACGCCAGCCGCCGAGGCACACGGGAGAAGGCCCTGGGATGGGTGCACACCCGGCTGCCAGCCCCGGCTCCCTCCCCTGGCTCCATCGTGGGGCCTCTCACCAAAGGAGAAGATGGTGTCCCAGCCGTCCAGGTAGCGCTTCCAGAAGGGCAGCAGGGGGCGGGTCCACTTGGGGAGGAAGGTGACGTAGACTGAGTTCTGGAACATGAGCCCTACAGATCTGATGAAGTTCTCCGTGTCCTTGGGGATGGATGCTTCCAGGCAACCGATACGTTTCTCGAACAGGATGTAGCAAATAGCTGGGTAGTACGGGGAGGCCGTCACAGGAGGCGGAGCCAGTGCGTCCAGAGTCCAGGGGGCCTCCAAAGGGGGAGTGCGGCCTACCCCTGGCCCATCCGCCCCCCGCCCCAGAGCCCCTCTCCCAACAAGGGTACCTTCTAGAGCAAAGTGGTAGAGCAAGTCAGCCATGTCGGGCACCTGGTCCCCCGAGGCGCTCTCTGCTCGCAGCTGGTCCAGTCGAACCACAAAGCTGTCAATCACTTCATTGAGAGCATCAGTGTAGAGTGCGGCCTCTGCTGGCTTCAGCAAGCGCTGGTTCAGAGCCTGGCGCAGCTGGTACCAGTCGTGGCCGTCCCTGCAGGCACACAGAGGAACAACACACACCTAAGCCTCCGACAGGGCACGGAAGCACCCCGAGGCTCCCCAGGAGTCCAGGGGAGTCTCGGCTTCCTGGATTTTAGAACCAGAGAAGCACCAAGCTGGCTGTTCTTTTCTTCTCGAGATTTTATTTGTTATATTTGAAAGGCAGAGTTAGAGGAAGAGAGGGAGAGACAGATCTGCCATTTGCTGGTTCACTCTCCAAATAGCCACAATGGCCAGGGCTGAGTCCAGCCAAAGCCAGGAGTGCAGAAGGGCTTCTTCGGGTCTCCCACGTGGGTGCAGGGGCCCAAGCACTTGGGCCGTCTTTTGCTTCTGTCCCAGGCACATTAGCAGGGAACTGGACTGGAAGTGGAGCAGCTGAAACTCAAACTGGTGCTCCTATGCAATGCCAGGGACACGGGCTGCAGCTTAACCCCCTGAGCCACAGTCCCGGCCCCACCTCCAAACTTTCCAGCGGCAGAAGCTCAGAGTCCCAGGACGTCAGGGTCTCCCCAGCACAGTGGGAGTGAGCGAGGTGAGCACCTAGAACCAGACTGCCGAGGGTCGAGTCACGGGTCTGACATCACTGGCGGAGTGACCCCAGGGGCAGGTGTCTTAACACCCGTGTGCCTCTGTTGCTCCATCTGCAAAATGGGGATAACAGGAGTGCCTGGCTGAGTGGGGCTGCTCGGATCACTGGAGTGCTGGGACCACTGTCTGACACGTGGGGAGTGCTGAGGGAACCCTGGCCACGATCGTCCCAGAGCCCAACAACTCTGGGATCCTCCATAGCGAAGTGAAAGGTGGTTCCAGTTCCTCCAAGAGGCTGAAGCAGAGCAAATCAGATTCCTGGGGTGCTTAGGTTCTGGCTCACTGTGTTCCTCTGGCACTAAGCCAAGGTCAGAGGTCAAGGGCACAGGGAGGCCCAACAGGCTGAGGCCCCGGGCATGCAGTACCTGGCTGGCTTCCTCACTGGTTAGGTGGGGATGCTCAGGTGGGTGGGACCACCTCCGGGAGCTGTCCGCCAGGCCTACTACTCCCTGTAAGCAGGCGAGGGATGAGCCCATCTTTTAAAGCTGGTTGAAGAGCAGGAAGTCTAATGCAGTCCGATTTTAAGAGGAAGAGGAGTCTGACCTATCCGGGCTTATATTAGCACACTTCCAGGGAAAGTGAGGCGGACCACGCAGCAAGGGGCGGGCCCTGTAGTGCGGTGGGTTAAGCCACCACTTGGGACACCCACATCCCTCATCCAAGTGCCCGCTGAAGTCCTGACTTTTCTGCTTCCCAATCCAGCGCCCTGCTCATATGCAGACGATGGCTCAAATACTCAGGTCCCTGCCACCCACGTAGGTGACCTGGTTGAGTGTGGGCATATGGGGAGTGAACCCGTGGATGGATGGAACATATCTCTGTCTCTGCTTCTTGAATAAAATGGGGGATATATATATATATATATATATATATATATATATATATATATAAACATGGATGCCAAACAGCTGGGGAGGGGCAAAGCCATTTGCTGGTTTTCAAATTCTATTAACACACTGTAGAAGGCCGGAATATGCCAGCTATAGCCTGTGGCCTGGGGAATAATGCATCATCTATGATTCCCATTCACCTGCTTGGACTGGCACATGAGTACGCAACACACTTGGCCAATGCTTTACCTTGTCACTGCCAAAATCATAACTGTCCTAGGCATATGCCTCCCTCTCTCTGTGGGAAGCACCTATGAAGGTGACAGGCAAAAAGAAGCACTAATTCGGGAAATTCTTTTTCAGGTTAAATGAGCCTTTCCAAGGAATACGGCCACAGTGTTTTCTCCAAATAGGCAGACCCACTCCATTACGACTTGTCACGTTTCCAACCACGATAGAGAACAATGGATCCAGAAAGGCCCCAGGGACACCATGGGGATGCTGTGGTCCACACCTCCTGTTTCACAGGTAGAGACACAGGGCAAAGGGGGAAGCCTTCACTCGTTCACAGCCACAGTTTACGAGTGGAAAAGCCAGGGCCCCTCCCTGGACTTCGCCCGTGCCAGCCGCGCCTCCTAGAGTGCGTGCCGGGCTTAGAGGGCGCACGCCGATCCCGCTCTGCCCAACATCCCACTGAGCCCGTCGGGCCCCAGCTCACGTGGTGAAGACCCCGTAGGCCAGGTCCTGGTGGTCGCGGTGCTCCTTCCACAGCTGCATGTCATTCCGGACCGGGTACTTGCCCTCTTGCCGCATCACCGTCTCCACGAGCGGGGCGCTGGCCAGGTTCACAAACAACTGGGGCCCCAGGTAGGACACCCACATCGGACCATACCTGGCCTTGTTCAGCACCTGGGGGGGGGTCAACGAAGCTGAATTACTGGGGCCCGGCTGGGCCGGCACTTCCAGGAGAGATGGGGTGGGGGAGCCGCCGACGGCCGCACCAGAGAGAGGGGGCAAGCATGGGGTGACCCATGCTTCCCAAGGGGGAGCCCTGAGAAAAAGAGCTGGGATACACAATGGGTGTCTGTCTGGTGGCCCTGGGGAAATGAGATCCCCAGAGGGATGGGACGAAAAAACTGGGAGATGTGGCGAACTGGGTGTGTCAAGATGTCGGCACTGGGGGGTCCAGCGATTTAGGGAAACTGAGTCCTTTAGAGAGGTGCAGTGGGAAGCCGCTCTGTCTCCTTCCCTGCAGTCGGCTCCCAACGGGATGAAACGAACGTTGTGTTATCAACAAGAAAGAAGATGATCAGAGATTCCAGAACAGACAAGAAGCCGGACGATGAAGGCAGGATTTCTGCAGGAATTAAACTCCGTGGTATGCGGATGTTTAAAAATGTATTGGCTAAGTCATGCAATTCTCAAATATTTTCGCTTAGAAGTTCTAAAGCACGTGACAAGTGATACCTACGGCACCTATGATGTTGACATGGCTACCGTGTTTCTAGAAGCCTGAAAAGGAAGACATTATGGTGCTGGGAAGGTAAAGCTTAGAAAGAGTCCACATTCCTGCTGAACTCTTTATTTAGTGCAGTGCTAAGTCTTTGTAACATAAATTAAAAACATGTTATCTTTTTTTTTTTTTTTTTTTGACAGGCAGAGTTAGACAGTGAGAGAGAGAGACAGAAAGGTCTTCCTTCCGTTGGTTCACCCCCCAAATGGCTACTATGGCTGGCGCTGCGCTGATCCAAAGGCAGGAGCCAGGAACTTATCCTGGTCTCCCATGGGGTGCAGGGCCCAAGCACTTGGGCCATCCTCCACTGCACTCCCGGGCCACAGCGGAGAGCTGGCCTGGAAGAGGGGCAACCGGGACAGAATCCGGTGCCCCAACCGGGACTCGAACCCGGTGTGCCGGCGCTGCAAGGCGGAGGATTAGCCTAGTGAGCCGTGGTGCCAGCCAAAACATGTTATCTTAAAAACTAAAAAATGAAGAAAGGCCAGAGGGGAGAGAGGGAGGAAGAGCGAGGGGATATCATTATAGTCTTATAGTTGAATCTGTTCTCTTTGTATTAATATCACATTCACATGAAAAAATAAAGTATCAGAGGGTTTAAAAAAAAAGAAGACAACAAAAAGGAAAACTTTCTAAAATGAGATCAATGTTGGAAAAGCTAACATAAAATTTAAGGTTGAAAGTCTAAAACAAAACAGGAGACTTGGAAAAGAGACTTTGCCTTTTCTGAATGCTGCTTCCCTGAGATGATTCAATCGAGGGGCTGGCACTGTGGTGCAGCGGGGTAAAGCCCCGGTCTGCAGGCATCCCATATGGGTGCCAGTTCGAGTCCCGGCTGCTCTACTTCCGATCCAGCTCTCTGCTATGGCCTGGAAAGCAGTAGAAGATGGCCCAAGTCCTTGGGCCCCTGCACCCACGTGGGCCCCTGCACCCACGTGGGAGACCTGGAGGCTTCAGATAAGCACAGCTCAGATAAGCACAGCTCCAGCCGTTGTAGCCATCTGGGGAGTGAACCAGTGGATGGAAGACCCCTCTCTCTCTCTCTCTCTCTCTCTCTGTGCCTCTCTGTAACTCTGATTTTCAAATAAATCTTCAAAAAAAATTTCAATCCAATGAGGTTGCCTGCAAGAAGCACTGAGACTGGCAGTTTGAGAACTGCACACCCATTTCGTGGTTAAAAGGGCAGAGGCCTCCGTCCCGCACTGGTACAGGAGGAGGCACACGAATCCACATCCACAGAACAAAAGCAAAGCCACACAACGGTGGGAGAAAGAGAATCCACAGACCCTGAGGCTAAATTCACTGGCCAAAAACTGATGCATGTTCTGGCTAAGTCACACTGCCACAGAAAATGAAGCGGTGATGTCCCAACTACTTCATTTTCTGTAGTCTTTTAAGATTTTAAGACGAACAGAATGTGTTCCAGTAAAGAAATTAAGCCAAAGGATATCTGTAAAAGAGGCATTAAGATTAAAGAGAAGGTCGGCGCTGCGGCTCACTAGACTAATCCTCCGCCTTGCAGCGCCAGCACACCAGGTTCTAGTCCCGGTCGGGGCGCCGGATTCTGTCCCAGTTGCCCCTCTTCCAGGCCAGCTCTCCGCTGTGGCCCGGGAGTGCAGTGGAGGATGGCCCAAGTCCTTGGGCCCTGCACCCCATGGGAGGCCAGGAGAAGCACCTGGCTCCTGCCATCGGATCAGTGCGGTGCTCCAGCCGCAGCGCGCCGGCCGCGACGGCCACTGGAGGGTGAACCAACGGCAAAAGGAAAACCTTTTTCTCTGTCTCTCTCTCTCACTGTCCACTCTGCCTGTCAAAAAAAAAAAAAAAAAAAAGATTAAAGAGAAGAGATCTGTCATATTCAAATTACAGAAGGGAAGACTCACTCATCTCCTTAGACTAGAAAAATGCCAATCTTACTGGTTTTACTTCTAGCATTAAAAAAAAAAGAAAGAAAGAAAGAAAGAAAGAAAGAAAGAAAGAAAGAAAGAAAGAAAGAAAGAAAGAAAGAAAGAAAGAAAGAAAGAAAGAAAGGAAGGAAGGGATCTGGGGCAGGCATTTGGCCTATCAGCTGAGATGCCAGCTGGCATGCCCGTGTCCCATATCAGGGTGCCTGGGTCTGCCGCTCGGCTCCGCTTCCGGACTCCGGCTTCTCGCTAATGAGGACCCTGGGAGGCAGCAGTGACTGACCAAGCAACCGGGCTCCTGCATGGGAGAGCTGCATGACTTCTCAGCTGCCAGCTCCGGCCCGGCCCGGCCTGGCCATGGCTGCTACAAGCATCTGGGGGTGAACCACAGGATGGAGGTTCTCTCTCTCTCTCTCTCTCTTCCTGTCTTCTGTCTCTCTGCCTCTCAAATAAATAGATTTAAAACAATTGGATTCATTCTTCTGTGACTAACATAATGACTCCCAGTATATCACCCAGTTGCCAAGAATGCACCCTGGGGAGGAAGTCTGAACAAATCTCCAAGGTGACTTGGGCTGTTGCCCACGTGCACCTCCCAGTAACGCCTACCAGCGTGATATGATTATGAACGATTGATTTGTCTGTAAACTACAGCAAATACACTTATTTTCCAGGAAGGAAATAGACAATATTCAGACATCACTGTTAGGAGTCTTAAATGACACATCCTTACTGGGAGGACAATTTTGCTAATATTTTTTCTTTACTTTTAAAGATTTTTTTAAATTTATTTGAAAGGCAGAGTTAGAGAGAGAGAGAGAGATTGAGAAAGAGAGAATCTTCCATCTTCTGGTTTACCTCCTAAATGGCTACAAAGACCAGGTCTGGGCCAGGCCAAAGCCAAGAGCGTGGAAATCCATCCAGATCTCCCATGTGGGTGCAGGGGCTCAAGCACTTGGACCATCCTCTGCTGCTTTCCCAGACACATTAGCAGGGTGCTGGATTGGAAGCATGGCAGCTGGAATTTGAATCAGTGCTCATATGGGATGCTGGTGTCGTGGCTGGCAGCTTAACTCCCCGTACATTTATTTATTTATTTATTAGATTTACTTATTTATTTGAGAGGCGGAGCTACAGAGAGGCAGAGGCAGAGAGAAAGAGAGGTCTTTCATCCATGGTTCACTCCCCAGATGGCTGCAATGGCTGGAGCTGAGCCGACCTGAAGCCAGGAGCCAGGAGCTTCTTCCGGGTCTCCCACGTGGGTGCAGGGTCCCAAGGACTTGGGTTATCTTCTGCTGTTTTCCCAGGCCATAGCAGAGAGCTGACGGGACACGGAGCATCCAGGTCTCAAACTGGTGCCCATATGGGATGCCAGCACTGCAGGCAGAAGCTTTAGCTGCTATGCCACAGTGCCAGCCCCTTTGTTAATATTTATAAAAATTACAAATTTATAAATAAAGTATGGTTGTCTATAAAATGGAGTACTATATCACCTTTAAAATAAAGGCAAAAAAGCTCCTTGTCATGCTAATATAGAAAGGCTCCTGTCTTATTCAGCTTTACGTTACTATAAAAATGCCTGAGACAAGCTACTCATGAAGGAGAGGTTTATTATGACTCATAGTTCTGGAGGGTCATAGTCCAAGACCAGGTGGCCCCATTGTTCACATCTGGTGACGGCGATCTGGCTGGCAGAGTCCTGTGCTGGCACAGATTGTCACATGGCATCACATGGCAAGAGGGGGCACACCTGTCCATGTGTGGCCTTTGATAAAGTCACCAGGATTTCATCCCTAATGGCCCAATCCCATCCAATCACCTCCCAAAGGCCCCACCCTCACACACAATAACTGGACTAATTTTTCACCCTCTTGGTGCCATTAACTTATGGTCTCGGTGTTTAAACATCAGCATGATATGGGGAGCCAAATCCTGTTCAAACCATAGCAGTGCTTAAGGCAGATCTGTAAGTGAAAATGGGGACCACTGCTGTGGTGTAGTGGGTAAAGCTGCCACCTGTAGTGCCGGCATCCCATATGGGCACCAGTTCGAGTCCCGGCTGCTCCACTTCCAATCCAGCTCTCTGCTATGGCCTGAGAAAACATTGGAAGATGGCCTAAGTCCTTGGGTCCCTGCACCCATGTGGGAGACCTGGAAGAAGCTCCTGGCTCTTGGCTTCGAATCAGCCCAGCTCCAGCAGTTGTGATCATTTGGGGAGTGAACCAGCAGATGGAAGACCTTTCTCTCTCTCTCTCTCTCTCTCTCTGCCTGTGTAACTCTCTGCCTTTCAAATAAATTAATCAATATTTTAAAAAAAAAAGATAAGTGAAAATGCACACTACCTTTGTCCAAGAAAGGAGGCTAAATAAGAATACAGAGTTTAGTATTAGCTTTCATAGAACAATACTGAATAGATACATAGAAACTAATTAAAATGATGACTCAAGTGTGGGGGAGGGGATGTGGAGGCCAGCAGTAGGGATGAGGCTACTTAA